CGCCTGATTAGGAAGTATTGGCTAAGATTATGCAAAAACAAACATCCCCATGAAATATACGCCCCTTATCTAAAAAAACCTCCTGAAAACTTAATAACGCACAAGACGTTTATTCGATATTTTACCGAACTAGTATAGTATATACCTTCTTTCTGTTTCACATCTGGAATCAAATTGCACCAAAAACTCACTACAACCAGGACACGAAAATACCTACAACAATAGAACAAAACAATACAAAACTTGTACACAAAGAGCTAGGAAACAAACGATTCATTAGAATGATCACAATTCAAAATAAATCAAGAGAAATATTTCGACGACGAAATAATTGTCTCCAAGTAGAAATCCCCCCTTTTTCTAATGGTGTTTTGCTGGAAACTAAAACACTCGTAGAACTCATACGTCACTACATCCGGGACCAGGTGCGCGTATTTTCCGTATTTCACCCCTGCTAGTGGCATACGAAGTTCGAAAATTTCCCGCCATTATCATTGTTGTTGTTTTGAAAATACAAATGGTCTTTGGTTCGTATTTAAAACGAAATTATAACGTTGGAAATAAAACGAAAAGATTTAAAAGACATCTTGAGATAAGTAAAATTTATTCTAGTTTTATATTTCCACTATAATTTTAAAAAATATCGCTTTTATACTGATCTTTCGCGTGCTTATTTACACGTCTTCTTTTTGTGTATTTTTGTCACTCTGAGTAAGTCTATATAATAAACAGAACATTAAACGGTTGCGAGAAGATATGGATTTATGTTCTCGTGTCAAAAACAATATCTCACTCGTTCGCTGCGCTCACTCGTGAGATATTGTTTTTGCCACTCGAACATAAAATCCATATCTCTTCGCAACCGTCTAATATCCTCTATATATGTTGCATTTTCCAATTCCTACATTACCTTGGTAAAATTTTGATTGTTCTCGTAGTTATGGGAGGATTCCATTTCCCATGTTCTCAGTATCACGCGATCACCACTCATTTCGCTTGATGAATTTGACTAAAGAAATATGTAACACAATGAATATAACAACAAATCCTATAGTCAATATCTGTCACACACACACACATGTACATTGAAAATCTGTCAAGGAAAACGTCTCAAGCAAAGTTTGTAAAGGAAAATTAGTTAGGAAAACTTTTCAAGAAAAACTTAAAAGGAAATGTTCTGAAGGAAATTTTAGAAAGCAAAACTTGTCGAGGAAAACTTCTCAAGTTAAATGTATCGTGGAAAACGTATCAAAGACACGTGGAAAACTACACTGAACCTGGTCTAAACGGGAAATTACCTCAATGAAAAATCTTGGAAGATCTTCAGAAATAGTTCTGATCTCCATAACAACGGGGTAAAGATTACGTAAGATGACCAAACATAATTCTTCCACGGAGGCAAACGTATTGAGGAACAACACCTAAAATTAGAAACCACGAAGTTTGAACAATGAAAAGACGGGAGGCATCATGGGTGGAATATGCGGCTGGTCTCTTACCTCCGAGTTAAGCCTGCTAATTAGAGAGTTTGGCAAATACAAGGGCAACGGCAACGGCAATATGGTCATCAACAATAGCATTAATCCTCAAATACATGGTCTGAAGCGTTGTGCAATGCCGTAGTTGTTGAAACTAGTACGTGATTTGCATCATTTTCACGGTGCATGACTACGGCAACAGTTCATTCGTTCGACGTTATTTGAGGTGTTTTATTTGAATTCGAAAATTTTTTTAATTTATTTTTTACTTAAGGGTACGTTTGAAAGAAACAGGAATACTTAAAGAGGCAAATTAAATGTATACTTTGGCTCAAATGCAACAATATAAGCAATTATATTTTCCCCGTTGCCGTTCTAGGTTGCCAAACTCTCTACTGAAAGTCGAGGGCAGGGATTTACTTTGGTTGGTTAACTTCCTGAGTTTGATAAACTAATGCAACTAGTGTATGGCTGGTTTTCTCCCAAACAAAAATTCCTATTCAATTCCTGTTGGATTAGCAAAGCTTTTGGTGTGCGAGACGTACTCGGGTTGTTGCCCAAATTGTTTACTTTTAATGTGTTCTTGAAAATTAACCAGCATAGACCTTTTTAAAAACGTGACGTAGTTTTCGGATAAAGGAAAACCCCGCGCAGCCATTTGGCTTGCCTGATTGGCCAAATTACGTCACAAGGTAGACTTTTTAAAAAGGTATATTGCGCATGACCGTGAACTCTTCAATTTACACACAAATTAAGTGACGTACCATTTGTCTAAAAGTAAATGCGACAAATGAATGTTCCATAACTGACACAGCTTCGTCCTAGAAAAAGAGTACCGACATGAGTCTATATAAAGTAAGGAACAAGTCTACAGTAATAGATGATTCCCCTTATTACGTTTTCGTAGCGCTTTGCATTGTGGTTATAGTGGTATCACAGATATTCAAGATGGATTATTTTTTGTCCTGACCCGTGCAAGAACTTTTAAAAAAGCTAGAGTCAGGTGCACGATAGCCAACAGCAAAATATTCGCGAAAACATTCAATATTTTCATTCGAGGCCGCTATCTTTATCAGTGATACCACTATAACCACAATGTAAAGCGCTACGAAAACGTAATAAGGGGAATCATCTATTAAGCACCACTAAACAACTTGAAATACATGTATGTCTTTTTGAAAAACAACACCTAAAATTGAAAACCTCGAAGTTTGAACGACGAAAAGCATATGTAACATGGAAGCCTTCTCATTTCCAAACTTAAACCTACCCTGAACGTACAAGGCAGTCCAGTCCCCCTTCTTCTACTCTAACCCCCTTTCCATACCCTATGTACTGCCGTATAAATCTCAAGTAAATGGCTATCAACTCCAGAAACAGTCTAAAATTAAGGCTAAGATAGCTATTGAGCTAAATTCAAAAGCTACTGGGGCAAGATCTGCCTGAGTCGTTAACCTTGATTTCAAAATACTAACCTTATTTTTACATTTCACAATACGAGACAGTGCTTGGCTAGTCTTGTCAGCTATCAATTCCGTATCTGAAAGAACACAAAAAGGCAATTCAGAGAATAAAAATATCAAGCACGTTCAAAGTCATATAAAGTCACCTAATTCGATAAGATATCTCTTACATTTCCTAACGATATCAACAGCGGTTTTCTTCCCGTCTTCGTTTGCCGAGTCAATTTGTTGCTTCGCCCAAGTGAGTAAACTCTTCTGCATGGCGCTCAATAACTGTACCAAGTTTGATGTTTTGTGCTCTATGTGAGGATCAAACTCACTCTGTATAGCAGATTGACACTACAGGAGAAAAAGATGGAGTCGTGAATTCTCTTTTAAACTGCCTTCAATCCTGGCCAAAAGAAGAGTTTAGAAATACATACGTAAAAAGCTCACAACTTGTCAACAAGATGTGTTCGCGACAGGCTTGTAGCAAGCTTGTCAACAAGTTGTAACAATGCTGTCATTTTATCAAGTTGCTACAAGGTTGTCACTCACAACTTGTTGACAAATTGTTGAATTGCAGGACCATAACAAGTTGTTGGAACAACTTGTAACAAGTTTGTTGAGCTCAACAACCTTGTAGCAAGTTGTCAACAAACTGGGAACAAGCAGTGCGAACACATCCTGTTGACAAGTTGTTGGAACAGCATTGCTACAAGTCTGCTACAGGTTTGTTACAACTTGTGTGTTTTTACATGCGTAATACAGCTGTCCAGTATAAACAAAGTTAATTTAGTTTAGTGTTTTCTTAAATACCTCTTGGTAGGCGACAGAAACAAGAGTCGACATTACCGACAAGACAGATTGAAGATCGAATCCAGACTAAAAAAATGAGAACAACAATGAAAACAGGTCTGAACTTGGTTGCCCCTAGATTCCATGCCTACCTTTACTCAACAATTAGCTACCTTCACTAATACAAAATCTACAGCCACGTTTATACCTTTGTTAATGTGGTGGGAAGACCAAGAAGTCCACTCGCATCTTTATTACTGAAGAACTTGCAAAGTGATTCAAAAGTCAATGCTAAAGATTGTAGTTTCTTTTCTTCCATAACTTCATCAACCATCGACAGTAGATGATCACGTCTGGTGTTTGCGTCTGGGAAAAACACCTCAGTTCCTAGAAAAAGTAATACCATGTTTTCATCATTTTTGAAAGAACTTTTAAAATTATTTGGAAACAGCTTTTTCAAATCTTGCTTGGTTCTTGAAATACCGTAACACCTAAGAAAGGTATTACCATTTCTACAGATATAATTCCTTGCTTTTTGGATAATATACAATAATTCAATAAAAGCAATTTTCCGGAATTTATAAATTAATTTGTAAGCATTTAAAGAGGGTAATCATACCATCAAGGATGATATCCTTGGCAATATTGACAATTTTCTTGTGATATTTTCCTGACTGGTCATCAACAACTTCACAAAGGTGTTCAAAAACACGACCCGAGAGTTCTTTCGTCTGCAGAAGTATAAGTTCATACATAAATAACATTTTTATTGCTTTTAACTAAATCTCAATAAACAAATTGAGCTTGCAAAGGGGATATGGTGGGACAATGGTCCCATCAGCAGTGGCGAAGATGATCTTTTAGACAGAAGAGTACCGTAACGAGCGTAACCCTATGCAAACAACAAGGCAAACAACAGCGGACACTTTTTGAGGTATGGAGGGCCCACTGGCTAAATGTCTGTAGCGGTAAATTCCTGCAATATGCAGTAGTATGATTATAATTTCACATCAATTGCGAAGGTTTTCTTTGTCTACCCCAGTTTTCTTCTAGTTAACACAGAATCAATGACAGATAACCCTTATTGGACTTGGACCTAATTCATATTGATACATATTAATAGATATACGTACATCACCCTCGACTTTCTCATGAACATCATGTCTTAAGAAAGGCAATGCCTGATGAAACAATCTCAGTACAAGACTTGATGCAAAAACTGTGTTCTCATCATCACTATAATAAGTAGATATAGCAAAACTATCATATCAAATAATAAGTTTGGAAGGATTTGTAAAAAAAATGTTTGATGGAACTGACTTAATGTTAAACACTGAGTCAATTCCCTCAAACATTTCTTACAAATCCTTCAAAACTTAAAATTTACCGACGAGAAATCCTACTGTGATCACAGAAACTTTGATAGTGTAATACCAGCCTTAACAAGGAATGGCCTTCATATATTTCTGTACTTCGAAGCAGAACAGATAATCTTATCAAGTCAGTTAGTTTAACATAACATTTTTCACAGTACCTTGCTATGACAGCAGAATAGACATCCCAAATTTGTTTTAAAGAAATCTTGGTCATATCGAGTCTGGCTTCCTACAACAGAAGGGTGAACATAAAACACACTTGACACTTCTACCGCAAAAATAGATGTGGGACAAAATGGTTCAACATCAAAGCATAAGTTGGGAGCTAAAATAAGGAACAAATTTGAAGGTGTAGAGAAGATAGAAAACTACCTTTTCAGTGACTTCAGCGTCTTTCTTCTTTTTAGCACAAACTTTCTACATTGACAATTAAGGGAATAAAAGTTAAAGTCAAGATGTGAAAACCGACACAGACACTGCAAACAAAGTTTCAAAATTCTAAGTTTTGAGGATTTGTATGAAATTTTTGAGGAAACTCACTCGGTGTTTACAGTAACTACTTACAGTTCCCTCAAACATTTCTTGCAAATCCATCAAAACTTAGAATTTACCTATGCAAAATTCCTACTGTGATCACAGAAACTTTGATAGTATGTAAAGCAGCCTTCCTGACCCTGAGAACAAGGTACCTCAAGCTGAGGACTTAAGAGATGGAACTCACCAGATCTTTAGCCATACAATCTAAGAACAGCAGGACTTGCAAAAATAATGTCGATCCAGAAACTTGCTCGTTTTCTGGGATAGAAGTTAAAGTTTTCTAGATAAAAAATAAGTTTATAGTGAGTAGGTGCTGGTAATACAGCGCTAATACACTTTCCTTTTTGTACTAAAGCTAGACAAATAAGGGATGAACCTTACTGGACGTGCAGCTGAGGTCTAAGCTGAATTACAGAGGACGCAGCTCAACCTGATCGTGTCGAAGGCTTTCTAAGGGCGCCTTTGGCAGCCACCTTATGACTCATGTCTGATCACGGAGCACAGCTACGGTGGAAGGATCAGTTTGGGGTCCAATCCCAACCCACCCTGTCAACATTCCCGGTGGTAGGAAACCAGAGTACCAGGAGAAAATCCACGACTTTCGGCAGAGCGTTGACTTTTTTCACACAAGTATCACGTAGCGAGAATCGAACCCACGATCTCAAATGTGAAAGAGGCTTGCTCTCATGACCACACCACCATAGCCCCATATAGTAGTTTTGAACTGATATAGATATCCAGTATAAATAAAGTCAGTTTAGTTTAGAGCAAGAACACATACCCAAGTCTCGCTCTCCTGCATCTCATCTAATGATTTCTCATAACCATAAAACTGTATTCCTAGAATTCCCATTCGTTCTGCTTTTGGATCACGTGTCCCCATGAACTTCATGATTATAAACTACAAGAAAAACATTGTAAAAAGTTCTTAGAAATGGGGGTCTGTCGCGAAACCGTAACCACAGGATGTGTTAGGTATAAGCAACAGAAAGAATGATAATAGAGATTGAGTTTACCTTTCCAACCGCTGGTTTATCTAGGTGAATGTCAATTTCATCCCTAAGGAAATAAAAATACGATCTCGAGATCATTCATACACTACCAACATTACATAACAGAAAAAAGGCACGAAAGGACATCACTTTGAAATCATCACAACAAAGACCCGCGCTTAAAGGTGGCAGGAGGAATACATGTATAGCTTCAAAGTTCACCTAAATTTACATTCATTAACTAGTGTACGCAAATTATTCATTAATATTGAATTTATTTATACCAATCGCTATCCAAGAAAAAGATGGCAACCGGTTCATCCTCAGCTGCTTGATACCGTTGAGATCTAAAAACAAACACAGGCAACTATTGTACAGGGTGTCCGATAAATTTTAAGGGGATGAATTTTGACACTCAGATCATTAAAATTGGTCAAGTAGAACCGATGCTATGCCTGTTGTAAATGAAGTCAGGTTCACCACTGAAATCATACATCAGCTGTTTTTAACAGACACAAACCACGGTGGCGGCTTATTACATGTTACTGCATGCTTGCCTTTTGTTCCTTGAAATTTGAGAACGTGCTGGAGAAACAGTTTCACTAACTCACCTTTTGAGATACTCTTGGTACTTGGTGTTATCCCAATCATTGTACTTATCAAGACGGCTGACATCAAGTTGTCCGTTATTTCTGAAGTAAATACATTTATAAAAGGCAATTTTTTTCAAACCTAAAATCTTTTTGGCGTTCCTCTCAAAATTACTTTAAATGTATCTGGCGGTTGAGAAACACAAAATAATAGTTAAGTAGTGCATGTCAATTTAATGGACCTTTAACCTTATAACTAAAATTTCGATCTAGACAAAAATTTCATCACAGCTTGAAAGGGCATCACAAAATTAGTAATATTCCAAAGTTTTGTTGCAAAATCTTGTAAAATGCGGAGAATATAGCCTTGCGAAGTTTGCCGTTTTTCAGTCATTTTGTATTACAAACGGGAAATTGACATCCGATTCGGGTGTTAAGGCTGCAATTTCCCGTTTGTAATGCAAAATGACTGAAAATTGCAAACTTCGCAAGGCTCTATTTTCCTCATTTTACAACATTTCGCAACGAAACTTTGGAATATTACTAATTTTGCGATGCTCTTTCAAGCTGTGATGAAACATTTGTCTAGACCTGCCTAGATCAAAATTTTAGTTATAAGGGGAAAGGTCTATTGAGTTGTACTGTGTAAATCAAGCGCACAACTCACGGCTATGGGCCCTATCAACTTACATTTGAACTTCGTTATGCATGAAAACAAGTCCACAACGAGGACCAACTCCACCTTTGCATGCCTAAATATGTTTAAAATGATTAAATATAGTGTCAGTCAGTAAAGTACGACAATACAGCCAAAAATGACTGTTCCCTTTTCTAGTGGATGAGGTTACCTTTAGCGTAATTTTCGTAAGTTGAACAGTCGTCGAGCGTTCACTGTTAAAAGCCATATTGAGACTCAATGTGCCAATTTCAGAATAATATGCTGAAGAAGCAAATACATAAAACATAGTAAATAAAAAGGTACAACGTAAAACAAATTCATGAAAATCAAAGTAGACCAAGTGAGTCCTACTTTGTAATTTTACGGTTTTACTTGTCAAGGGGAGAGTGGTGGCCCTCAATGAGTTAATCAGGCTATCTGCCAATGTGTCTTGTTAATCCTTTAACTGGCATTAGGTCCGAATGTGCTCTACTTTATTATTTTACTCTGTCCAATACCAGACGGTTTTATTCGTCGAGGGGAGAGTGCTCCCACTCAATCGGTTAATCAAACTATCTGCCAATGTTCCTTGTTAAGTGCGGCCAAATACGCCCTATAGTTTGATATTCTACTCAGGAAAATGTGGGGCATTCAATGACAAAGAAATTTGCAAAAGTCAATTGTTTTGCTCAACCAAACTAAGAGATAACTTGAAGCATGAATGTCCATCGTTTATGGTAGACTGTCCGCTAGAAAACGAGAATTTGGGTGTCATGGCTGTAGTTTCTGCGTATACGCTATACCTTCAGTCGTCCAGTTGTCACTTAAGACATTCTTGGGAGGTGAGCTCTCGTCTTTGCTTCCTCCATCACAACCAACAAAACCCACAGCCAGCTTACCACCTAGAAAATTAAATAACTTATGTTAATTAATACAGTAGGAGACCTAAACAATTAAAGAAACTTTAGAAAGAAAACAAAATACGATGAAAGTTCAAAATACGCCATGTAGCATGCGGATTCTACAAATTAAAAACAAATTGGTTTCCAGCTTTTGACGAAATTTTGATCAAGACAAGAAGAACGAAATCCATTACCATAGCTGGAAAGAGCATCTTAAAATGAGTAAAATTGCAAAGTTTGGTTGCGAGTTTGTTGTAAAATGAGGAAAATATAGCCCTGCGAAGTTCGCAAATTTTGTATATATTTGCATTACGCGCGTGAAAAATAACCATTTTTGAGCCGAAAGTAGTTATTTTTACCGCACGTAATACAAATATATACAAAATTTGCGAACTTCACAGGGCTATATTTTCTTCATTTTACAACATTTCGCAACCAATCTTAGCAGTGTTACTCATTCTAAGACGCTCTTTCTAGCTGTGGTGTTGGATTTCGTTCTTCTTGCCTTGATCAAAATTGAGTCTATAGCTGGAATCACCCATTTATGGGTTGTTCTTAACAAATTTGTGCCATGTACTGTACCGTGTCTTTGGATCGCCTTTTCTTGTTCCTCGACTAGGGAACTAACAATATTCTTCGCCGTAAACTTTAAGTGCATGTTATCTGAAACAAAATGCAAGATAAATAATCCAACATTCTGAACACAACACGGAAAAGTAAATATTTTAATTGTCATTTTCAACATACCATAGAGCAATTTCAGAACTTTAAAAATTCCACCTAGGTTTCCCCGTACCAGTGAAAATTCGATCAAAACTTGCATTCCTTCTGAGTCCAACTTATTCTCATGACTAAAATAAATAATACGCAATGTGATCTATTTACGAAATAATGGTATGCTTAGTCTAGTAAAAATTGAAGAAGTTTTATATCAAAAACAAGAGTCTTGTTCTCTCTCGCTTTTTGGTTGAGATTACCAGAGGTGGAAAAATAGGCGAGCACGAGAGCACTGCTCGCAGGAAATGTTAAACAGCTGCAGAAAATTCGTTTGAATGAAGATTTGCCATTGACAATTTGAAGGAAACCTTAACACTCATGTCCCACTATGGGCGCAACAACATATAGGTTGATGCAGACATTATTCCTTGAATTTAAAACCATGGTTAGCTAGAACACTATATGTTTATGCACATGCATTGTTAGCACAAAAATACTCCGTTGGTCTGCAGGAAATTATTGTCTCCAGGTTCTGCTCCCAGGAAGAAAATTCTTTTTCCTGCCCTGGAGATTACAATATGAAGCAACTTTGTCTATTATA